AAAACATGTAATCTGGTTATTTGGGCCTGACCTCCCATATTCTCCACCTGCTGCTGGGCAGTCAGACATCTTATGCCCTGGCTGATTGCATTTGAAACATGTGAGCTTATTTTCATTCCATGCTGAACCACAATCACTTCTTCCCATTCCTCCTGGGCAATCTGCCCTCCTGTGTCCTGGTTGATGGCAATTGAAACAAGTGATCTGATTATCACTTCCTGTTCTATTAAATTCTCTGCCTGTCATTTTTGGGCAGTCAATTTTTCTATGTCCTGGCTCATTGCAATTAAAGCAGGTGATCTGGCCATCATTTCCTGTTTTTGTATCTTCTATTCCTGCCGCTGTTGGACAGTCTGCAATTCTATGTCCTGGTTGATGGCATTTGAAACAGGTGATCTGATTATCACTTCCTGTTCTATTACATTCTGACATTTTTGGGCAGTCAATTTTTCTGTGTCCTGGCTCATTGCAATTAAAACAGGTGATCTGGCCAACATTTCCTGCTTTTGTATCTTCTATTCCTGCCGCTGTTGGACAGTCTGCAATTCTGTGCCCTGGTTGATGGCATTTGAAACAGGTGATCTGACTCTCTTTTTCTGTGGTAACATTTTCTGTACCTGTCTGTGGGCAATCAGCTATTCTATGCCCTGGCTGGTGGCATCTAAAACAGGATACTTTATTGTCACCACTACTTACTTCAAAATTATGTTCATAATTATCATCATCATTATCAGAATATTTTTTAATACTATTTCCCCCTTCATTAGGTATCTTATTCTTCTTTTTTACCACTTTACTTTTGCTTTCAGGTAACTGATCTTCAACTGCTGCCTTTTGTTCATATATAAGTTCAATCCTTAATTCTCTATGAGCTTTTCGTTTTGCTTTCATCATCATCCTCATCACCTAAAAATGTGAAATATACTTTTATTACACACACAAAAATAAAAAAGAAAACCTTAATTCTCTATGAGCTTTTCGTTTTGCTTTCATCATCATCCTCATCACCTAAAAATGTGAAATATACTTTTATTACACACACAAAAATAAAAAAGAAAACACAAGGGGTTTTTTCTTACCAAAATCTATTTTGGTTTAAACAACATTTAAGGACTTAAGTACATCTGAAATATGGATCAACACAAATAGACATATTGTATATACTTGAATCCATAAAACAATAACAACATGATAAAACAGATAAACGCCCAATTCCACTCACCTCCTTCTCAGAATGGCCTTCTCCTTTGAGAGACCCCTTCAGCTGGTCCAGCTTCTCCACCACCTCCTTCTTAACCCACATGTTGTCATACCTTGTCATGCGCTGGCCTTCTTCATAGGGGAGGTCAAACCATGTTCTTTCTGTGCCATCCTTGAATACCTTAACCCTCTGACTTTTATCATTGATTACAAACTCTTTCTTCTCTTCTACTTTCCCATTATCCATTTTTTTCGTCTTCTTTTTTCTCTTCTGTTTAACATCTGAACTTTTCTCAATACAATCATCATCTTTTTCTAATTCAACATTGACAACCTTTCCCTCAGTCCCAGATTCATCAGCACTGTTTTTCTTCTTCTTGATCTGGACAGTATCAGTGTTCTCTTCTCCATTTGCTTTGTCTAGCTTTCTCTTTTTCTTCCCCTTCACTTCATCTTTCTTCACACCATTTTCAGTCTTTTTCTTAATTTTTTTCTTTGTTTGTTTTACTTCAATTAAATCCACTTTCCCTGTTGTCTGGTTTGAATTTATTTCCTCGTTCTCTTTATCAACAGTGTCATTCTTACCAACACATTTTTTCTTCTTTATCTGCAAAGTATCAGCACCACTTTCATCCAACACTCTCTTCTTTTTCTTTGTCACATCTTTCTTTGCAATTCCATTATTACCTCTTTCTTTATTCTTATCCTTTTCCACATTCTTTAATGTCTTTTGAATGTCTGCTTTGCCTTCTGGTGCTTTAGTCGGTGCCAGCTCATGCCAGGGGGTGGGCTCTTCCGGGACCCGCTTGTTGGAGCCCTTGGAGCCCTCGGCACGTGCAAATCTAACCATCTTTCAGGGAAGTCGTCCTCTGAAAAGCAATGAGCCAAATCAGATTTTTGTAATTCTCTCCACTTTCTCAAAGTGTGGAAAAATTTCGATCATAGAGCTCCAAGAATTTACAAGTTTTACAACCTCTCTAACATCATTAATATGAGTTTGCAACAAAAAGTACATGAGAAAATTAGAATATATTTACATAGTGACTTCACTAAGATACAGATTAATCTAAGGACATCATAAGTAAAGGAAAATCCTACACTCACTGACATATGAAAAAAACTGCACAGGTGAAGAACAAGGTCAGATTTTTTTTTTAAAGGCAAAAATGGGTTATGACAAATGCTGCATGAAAGTCACATGGGGGTTCAAGGGTAGAGCCTAGCGGGGGAAATACAGTACCCAGGTGGGTGTCCCAGGCAAACCCCTGGGTAGGTACATTTTGGGTTCATGCAGTAACGTTTGAGTGCTTCAGTGCCTCCACAGCTGCTGGCTAAAATGACAGTATCAGAGGGGTGCAGTTATTTCCTAAATTACCCAAAATTTCTCAGGTATATTGCATTAAATGGTAAAGTCAGATTCTTAAATTTCATTATCAGGCACCACAACCAAAACACCATAATCTTAAAAGCTAGTATTTTTTTTTTTTTTCTAGCTCTATGTGGTCAATCTGGTTCAATACCAATTTTACTAGTAATAATTACAAGTAACTTTACATATACATGCTACTGTAAAAAACTTGTTCCATGTGCATTTCCAAGACCTTTGTTAACCCAAGCTAAAGTACGATTATTACTTGACTCACCGAAACCCACTGACACACTGTAGTAGCAACTTACTTTTTTTTTCAATGAGACCCTAACTTCCCATAGGGTGGGGGTGTCTTCATTCAGTCAGCAACTCCTTACGTGAAAATCGTATCAAGACTTAAAGCAACATACTGATCCCACAAGAAAAAAACACACGAAATGACTGCTATTGCCAACCAAAATACCAAAAGAGGGAGCAGTCAGAGACGAAAATAGGCCAGAAGAGCGAAGAGCGAGGCGAGCCAGAGAGCCAGGCCTTCTCGACACACGTGCCTCAGCTGGATCTCCCGGACAGTGTTGCCAGGTACGGGGTGGTTGACGTAAACACGCAAATCCTTTCTGACATTCACGCAGTTGTTTGCATCCTGTGTGAGTTTAATTGATGTAGTAATCATTTTTTTTCGATTCTTGTAATATCTTTAAAGTAAGATGTGATTAAGAACTAATTCCAAAATATAATCCCATTACAGTGTTACCAACACGACTGGGGGAATATAGTTTATGCCACTTTAAGAGAAAATAGTTTATACCACTTTATGAGGATAATAGTGTATGCCACTTTATGAGAAAAATAATTTGACAGTTTTCGATATATTACAGAAAAAATACACGTGTATGTGGTGAAAGAGGAAACTATGCCTTTGGTACGAACGTAAGTTGAATAACTAGATTTTTTTATTATTATTTGTGATTCTATTACAGTACCTTTCTTTAAAGTTGCAAAGTATAATCGTACAAAAGTAAAAAAAAATCGTCTATTGTACATGTGTATGTCTATTGTGTCTATGTATGTCCATTATTGTCTGTTACACATGCACAGTATAATAGTTTTGTTTTACTTTTGTACGATTATGTTTCGCAACTTTTAAGAAAGGTATTGTAATAGAATCAGCTGGTAACAAAAAAAAAACTTATTAGTTATTCAATTTTCGTTCGTACCATGTGTATGGTGTGAGAGATTTCGCCGTAAACTACCGTGAATATAAACGTTTTTTTTTCCTTTATATCGTTCTGAATTAATCATTTCATAATCATATAAATTCGATGAATATCATTTATTGATTGAAATGTAAAATAGTAAGCTAACTCTATTTCCACAACCATATTTACACAGTCGCCAATCAGCTGATTTGGGAGGTTACCATAGCAACAGTGAAGCTCAGGAGGGGAACGGGCAAATTGGGAAGTACTCACATTGAGAAAATTTAAAGAAAATAGATCCAGGGGATATAGACTAGACAATAGTCTAAAACCCTATAAAAGAAGAAAGAAGAAGAAGAAGAAGAGAAAATTTATGTAAGGCTAAGAGATTAGTGTTACAGATGATTTTCTCTGGTTTAAGTAAGAGAGTAAGAGGAAGGAACTGTATTTCATAACCAAATATATTTAGTTCAAAATGTCTTCAGATATTGCCATGTTATTTTTTTTACCATTTTATTATTTTTATTGTGTATAATATATTTTCTTATGTATAATATTTTCAAAATTGTTTCTTTCATACACGTGTTTTAAAGTAACGTATGCCAACCTAACCCATCTAAACAGCCCTGGACCCACAGGTTGAACTGCGTGAACTGCCAGCATAAAGCAGTTTGCACAGAGCAGTTTGTGCTTGTACAGGGCCAGTATGTGTGACTGCACAAGCCTGGGTTGAGGCCTGCATTGATTCAGGTGGTTCCTGAAAATACGTGTGCAAACCCAGGCTTGCATTTATTGCACTGTATCAAGCACACCCTTGTGTATGGAGAGTTTAGAGTAAAAGTAATGGGAAATTTACCATGCAGGATTACCAGGATTATAGTAAAAAAGAGTGTATGGAGCGGTAACCTTGATGAAAACTAAAACTTTCATCTAAGGCCAAAGGTGGGCAAATTGAAAATAAAGGAGATATAGGACAGGGAAGAGAGATCGACCCAGCATTCATGTTTACCTTACGAGGACCAAGGCATCACCTATTGTCAGCATCACAGAACAACAGAATGACAGCTGAGCAAAGTAGCACAGTGGAACTGAGTAGTATATGGCCTATGGTCTAGGCTTGCTAGACCAGTTTGTGCTGGCAGTTTTCATAGTTCAGCTGGGCAAGTATAGGACCTGCAGGTCTTTTAATTCAATAGAATTTTTTAATGTATATTTTCATAAATGTTACTCAC